CTTAGGGGTTGTAGGTCTATTTAAATTGTTTATCTGGTCTTGATGACCTGAAGATTCTCTGGATTTCCTCAGTGTCTGTTGTTATATCCCCCTTTTCATTTCTGATTTTGTTAATTTAGATATTCTCTCTCTGCCTTTTGGTTAGTTTGGATAAGGGTTTGTCTATCTTGTTGATTTTCTTGAAGAACCAACTCTGTATTTCACTGAATCTTTGAATTGTTCTCTTTGTTTCTATTTTATTGAGTTCAGCCCTCAGTTTGAATATTTCCTGGCATCTCTTCCTCCTGGGTGAGTTTGCCTCTTTTTGTTCTAGAACTTTTCAGGTATACTGTTAAGTCGCTAGTGTGAGATTTCTCCATGTTCTTTGTGTAGGCATTTAGTGTTGTGAACTTTCCTCTTAGCACTGCTATCATATTATCCCATAAATTTGGGTATGTTGTGCATTCATTTTCATTGAATTCTAGGAAGTCTTTAATTTCTTTGTTTCTTCCTTTACCCAGTGGTGATTCAGTTTAGCATTATTCAATTTCTATGAGTTTGCAGGCTTTCTGCAATTTGTGTTGTTGTTGAATTCTTACTTTAAGCCATGGTGATTCAATTAAGATACCAGGGGTTATTCCAATTTTTGTATCTGTTGAGGGTTCCTTTGTTACTGAGTATTTGGTCAGTTTTAGAGAAGGTTCCATGAGGTGCTGAGAAGAACATATATTCTTTTGTGTTTGGGTGAAATGTTCTCTAGATGTCTGTTTAGTCCATTTGAGTCATAACATCTGTTATTTCCCTTATTTCTCTGTTAAGTTTCATTCAGTCTGGCAGACTTATCCAGTGGTGAGTGTGGGGTGTTAAAGTCTCTCACTATTAGTGTGTGGGATTTGATATGTGATTTGAGCTTTAGTAATGTTTCTTTTACAAATGTGGGTGCCCTTGTATTTGGGGCATAAATGTTCAGAATGGAGTCATGTTCTTGATAGATTTTTCCATCAAGCAGTGGGTGGAGGAGGGGCACAGGACATTTCCCCAGAAGCTGGGACCTAGAGAGCAGAGCTGTCCAGCCAGGTGCTCAGACACTCACCTCTTTCTCCTATAGGTGCAGGTAGGGCCTGTGGCTCCAGTGACAGCGGATGCAGCAGGGGATGGTTTGTGGATGGGCCTATGCTGCCACCAGGTAGCTGGGGATGCAATGGGTTGGGGAGGGGCATAGGATGTGCGCCCCGCCCCACCCCCCATGAGCTAGGATAGAGAGAGCAAGGCTGTCCAGCCAGGAGCTCAGACACTCACCTCTTCCAGCATTCAGGCACAGGTGGGGCCTGTGGTTGCTGATGCAGCAGGGGATGGTTCTATTTGTCAAATTTTATATTAGAATTGTCTGTTTGTTCTTCAGTGATGAACTCGTCTTGAGCATGAACATGGCCTTTTTTAATGTGTTGTTGAACTTACTGGAAAGCTTCAAGTACTTTCACTAAGGATTGTTATATCTAGGCACATAAACTATTGGCTTATAATTTCTTTATTTTACATTTAGGGTTATTTTGTTCTATTTATTTATTTTGCTGTGTGTGTATTTTTCTGTCTGTGTCACAACATACTGCTGTGGATGGATGATTGATTGATAAATAAAACACTGATTGGCCAGTAGCCAGGCAGGAAGTATAGGCGGGACAAGGAGGGAGGAGAATTCTGGGAAGTGGAAAGCTGAGGCAGGGAGACGCTGCCAGCCCACACGAGGAGAAACACAATGTAAGATACTGATAAGCCACAAGCCACGTAGGTATAGATTTACAGAAATGGGTTAATTTAAGATATAAAAACAGATAGCAAGAAGCCTGCCACAGCCATACAGTTTATAAGTAATATAAGTCTCTGTGTGTTTACTTGGGAGATGTGATTGGGAGAGATTTGTCCCGACTGTCAGCAGGCTGGGACACAGGAAAACTACAGCTACAACACACACATAAGGAAGTAGGAGTAAAACTTGTGGAAGTCAATGCTCTTTTTCCAACATGTGGGATCGAGGGAGGAAGCCCAGGTCATCAGGTCTGGTAGTAGGCTCCTGTAGACATTGTAGAACATGTTGCCAAGTGTCTCTTCCCTTCTTATTGAATAGCTGGAGGAATATTAGCATTAATTCTTTTTTAAAGTTGGGTAGAATTCAAAACTAAATACATTCACATTAGTCTTTTATTTCTTTGTCATTTCATCATTGAAATCTTTTATACAATGTATTTTGATCATCTTCCCTTTGCTCAATTCCTCCCAGACGCTCCTCACCTCTCTACCCATCTTGCATTATAGTCTATCTTTTATCTATTTAAAAAAATAAAACAAAAAGAACAAAAACAAAAAACAAAGTAAGCAATAAAGGCCTATAAAATAAAAGGCCTGAAGAAAAGAAAATGAGCCCAGTAGTGTGCCAAAATTCTATTGAGTTCATTTAGTATTTGCCAATGGTTCCAGGGCATGGGTTCTACCCAGAGGAGTGGTTAAGATACTCAGTAAGATTCTACTGGAGAAAAGTGATTCTTTCTTTGCCAGCAGGAAAAAACTGCAGATGTCTCCTTGGTTAGGGATGGAACCCTGTTTCCACCTTTCCTTTTCAATACTAGAACCCCCATCTGGCTTGAACCTTTGAATACTTGTGTGTATTGCTACCGTCTCTGTGAGTTCCTGTGTTCATCAGTCCTGTTATATCTGAAATACACTGGTTTTTTGATGGTTTGTTTCCTTATCTTTCTGCTTCCTTTTCCAAAAAGCTCCCTGAACCTTGAGACAAGGGTTTCATGAAGCAATCCCGTTTAGGACTGCAATTACAAAGTCTCACACTCTCTCTTGTTGTGAGTCTCTGTATTCCATTTCCTTAAAAAAGGGGTTTCACTGGTGGAGGCTGTTTGAGACTTTAATCTTTAGATACAGCAGTATGTCATCAAGAGTCATTTTATCACTGGGTTCCTTTAGCAGAATAATAGTATCTGGTTTTTGCCTAGGCCATGATCTATCTTAGTTTTATAGTCACCTTAGCAGTATCAGGTATGGCTTCCATTCCTGAAGTGGGCCTTAAATCCAATCAGAAAGTAACTGGTTACTGCCATAGATTTGTGCCACTATTATATTAATCCATTTTGCAAATGGGTCGCATTTGTCCTAGGGTTTTGTAGCTGAGTGATATTGTTGATTATATTTCTCCTTCAGTAGAATGCAGAATACCTTCCAGTATCATGAATGTCAATCATGAATTGGTGATGAATCTTCTAGTTATGCACCAGTTCAACTTCTCCATGTTGGCTGGCATACATGGGTGTTGTCTTCAGCAATAGGGCATAACAATAAGGTTGCATATAAACAATAGTCGTGGCAGTAGATGTTAGCTTTGGGGGTTTCCATGGGGCCCTTTTCCAGCTATGCAGCGAGATGGAACCCGATCATGTCACTGGACAAAAGCTGTTTTCTTGAGATTTTTTCAATGAATATTTAATTATGTTTCTCATTAATGATCTAGTTAGAGTTTTATATATTTTCTTTCAGTTTTGGTAGTTTACACATGTTTATAAATTTGGCCATTTGCTGCAGTTTTACAATTCATACCAGTATAGGTTTTCAAAAATACTTCCAAATGAAGGATCAGAGGAACCAGAGGCGTCAGGGACAGCATGGGAACACAGCCCACAGAATCAATTGACTGTGACTCAGGGGGCTCACAGAGATCAGGGAGCCTGTAGGGGTTTGACCCACATCCTCTGCATTTATGTTTTGGCTGACTACTTTGATGTTATTGTGGGGTTCCTAGCAGTAGGAGTGGGTTAATCAATGACTCTTTTGCCTACTTATGGGACCCTTCTACTCTTACTGAGTTGTCTTGTCCAGCCTTGATGTGACAATAAATGCCTGGCCTATAATAGTATATTATATACCATGTTTGGTTGATGTCCCTGGGAAGCCTGCCCTTTTCTGAGGGGAGATAGGGGGAGAGTAGAACTGGAGAAGAGGGGAGGAGAGTCTGGGGAAGGTAAGAGAGGGAAAATTATGGTCAGATTGTAATATTTGAGAGAATAAAAAATTATCTTCACTATTAAAAAATACAGATAAAAGTACTAGGAAACTTGAGTAATTGAAGTGAGCAAAGTGTTGACATTATTGACTCCTAAATAGCCTTTTTGATATATCTCTACACAGAGAACAGAGAAAAGTTTGGGATATTGCCTTCATACTTATCATGTTATCAGAAAACCTACTTGTTATAGTTGCCCTTACAGAAACATTGTCAGATCCGAAAAAAATAAAGTAAAAGAAAATAATATAACTTGAATAATCATGTTTGAAATTATCAAAAATATTAAAAATTAAATTAAAAATAAGTTATAATGTACATATGGTTTTAAATATATGATTAATATCATTGATTTCTAAGAAATGTTTCATGAATTGAGTTAGAGTAAAGCAAATGACTATTAACTAATGAAGAATGATATTCCTCATTATTTAGAGACCACTTTTCAGTATAGCATTAACAAACATAATATCATCATATTCACCAAATTATCTCAGAGTAAAATATACAATTTGGGAACAGGAAAAATATGTAAATATGATGGAATAGACTGGTAGAGGATTACTTTAAAATGTGGTAATGGAAATTCTTTTTTGAAAATTGCATTCCTGACCCTCAGCATAATCTGCTAAAGTATGCTTCCTTATTTTTTCTAGTCCCTCTGATTTAGTTATTTCTCCAAGAACATTGATTCCACGTTACTATTGGTAGTCTATAATTTCATAAAAAAGTATCTTAACCGTGAGTTCATGTGTTCATCAGTCCTGTTCTATCTGAAATACATTCTTTGTTTCCTTATCCTTCTGTATTCCTTTCCCTCAGCACAAGACAGCATCTGCTAAACTGTGCTTCATGCTTCTTTCTAGTCCCTCTGATTTAGTTTTTTCTCCAGAAATATTGATTCCATGTTACTATCTGTAGTCTATTGTTTCATTAAGAAAGTATCCCACGTGTTCATGATTATATGATTTCCATCGTTTCAGTTATTGGGAACTCAGTGGTGAACAAGGAAGCAAAATTTATTCCTAAGACTGCATATGAAATGGTTTGGTTTGCATAGATTTGACACATTTTATCCTCAAAAATGTTGACAGAATAGGTACATCATCTCCATATCAAAATAAAACCACTTGTTGATCGACAAAAAAAAAAAAACCACTTCCAATTGATTCTTTAGATTTTCGCCATTTTTGCTATAACAGCACCATCGCATGCCTATAGATTTACACTGTCTCTTATATTTGATCACTTTTGGTAAGGTATCTGTTTTGTTCTTCCTTTTCAATAATCAAGCCTTTCCTTTGGCATGTTCATTATTGTCCATTTTTTTAGGTTCAGTTCTAATCTTCAGAATGTTTACAAGGTAATTTTGGGGAGTTTAGTTTATTCATTTTTCTGTGACCCGGAAGTTCATTGTAAGGTTGCTTCACATCCCTGACACTTCTCCATGTAGAAATCGAAAGCTATAAACCCTTCCTTTAGACCTACTTCTCATTGTTTTAATCTGATTTAGTTCAGTTGGTGTTGCCATGGAAACCATCAAGAGACATAATAGCAAGACCAGAGAGGAGGTGTCAATGCAGCTGGACCTGAAGGCCAGCACCTCTCAAGAGGAGAACCTTACAGATCATTACATCATACTCAGGACCCTTGGCAAAGGGACCTTTGCTGAGGTGAAGCTGGCCTGCCACCTCCACACAGAGGTGCAGGTTGCCATCAAGATCCTGGAAAATGGAGAGAATAATGACCACAACAACAAAACTGAAATCGACATTGTGAAGACACTGGACCACCCAAACATCATCAAGGTGTTCCACATCATCAACACCGAAGAGCACACCTATATGGTGATGGAGCATGCTTCTCGGGGAGATCTGGTGAGCCATATTGAGAAAGTGGGCTGTCTGCAGGAGGAGCAGGCCCAGCACATCTTCACTCAGATTGTGTGTGCTGTTCACTACTGCCATAAGAATGGCATTGCA